GAGACATTTTGTTACACCTTTACTTAGTGATTATTTTGCCTTATGTCTGTTCTAGAGACATGTTACAGCTTTTTAATAAAGCTCTAATTGGTTTTCTTTTGGAAATATGTTTCAAATTCACACTGAATGCATTAATAACTGTAAAGCATGTCTGTGTGTGTCAAAATTGTGATTAAAATCGAAATGGCAAAATTGATCAAAGAAATCGCGATAGGTTTTTTTTCCATATCGCACAACCCTACTATTTTGACAATGTCTTTCATACTTTTCTGGACCTTAACAGTGTTATTTACTTGGCAGTCAATAGGACAGTCACAAGCCTCCCGGTTTTCATCGGGTTTGGAATGACATGGGGGTAAGTGATTAATGACAAAATTTTTGGGGTGGAGTAACCCTTTAAGTAAATATGAATAGATGATCGATTTATGTGCCCCTTGAACTGAGGCACTACAGTGATCTGTCACTACACATTAAAGAGGCACAAAACAGTATTTATTGTTTGAATTTCTTAAAAAAAAAAAATTGCAATCTGAGACTTTGTTTAATACCAAAAGTAACCTGCTCTGTCTTGTCTGTCGACATGTTATCAGTTTCCTCTTTGCTCCACCATGTATTTTTCACTATGGTGAGTGCACCATGGCTTGTCAGACATAGCAACAGTAACTAAGGAAGGCATGTCTTTGCCAAGGGTCAATTAAGGGGACAATAATAAGTTAAATATGTAACTACCAGAGTAATTTATCACTTTCACTCTAATCCCAACTCATTTAGGGGTTTTAATTGAATCAGTAAATAATTTCTTTTGAACTGATTCATTTGCGTGAAACTGTTGAAACAATCTGAATCATGCAATGAATTAGACTTTACAATGAAAAATCTATTTTAAAGCTGTGTGCATAATACAGTGTGACAAAGTATTTTGTCATAATAAATTACTATTTGTTGGAGATTGTACTACACCCTTGTAAAGCTAGTCATATTAAAATTGTAATAGTTTATTCATATTTTGAATTAGTTTTTATTTTAACGTAAGTTTTAGTTTGCAGTTCGTAATACTTTTTTAATGTCTATTTTGTTTTCATTCATTTTTATTTCAGTTTTAGTTTTTGCAATTTTAGTAATTCAACTAAGCGAAAATGAGAAATATTGACTTGGCAACGAACTGAAATAAGTTTGTTTTTATACAGTATTTCATTTAATTTCAGTTCATGTTTATTTCAGTTAACATGTTTTTTAATAGTTTTAGTTAGTTTTAGATAACACTACTGGTAGATTCACGTGAGAAGTTTTGATGCTGTTGTTACCTTAACGCTAAATGTGATGGGCTCCATGACGAACACGCGATCAGGAAAGTTTCCTGCGATTTCCTCCACGCTTCCAAAGTACTGAACCGGCTCACGAACATCCCGATCCTGATCCAATAACTTAAACTTCCCTGAGGACAGAGGAAAACAGAGTGAAAGAAAGAAACAAAGAAAGTGAAATTTCCCCAGAAATGAGATAAAAGTCCCATTAGTGACACCCTGAAAGGTATTTAAAAATGCAAAATGTTTTTTTTTAGGGTTTAAAGTTTAGTCTGTAGAGATTATAATTAGCCTTGTATAAAAACCAGCAGAACTCTATGGTATGTCCTCATTTAAGCGTAAGTGTGTGATCTTACAGGTCATTTTCACACACACAGATAAAGCGTGAGAGAACGTATCTCTCTTTGTCTTTCTGTCTCCTGGCAACAGCTTTTCTTTTTTCTTTCTGCAGTTCTATACGACCCTCAGAGCTGAACGGGTTTCTTTCTCTTCAGGAGTTTCATTTTTGTTGGTGCAATCGTACAAATTAATTGTAAATATCAGTTGAATTATCTTCAATCACATTTCATTGGCACACATGACACACATTTACCAAACAATCTAAACAGAGACTTTCCATTGACTTCCTGTGTATTAAACTACAGCGTTTGTGCTACGCACATGAATGATTCAAAATGTGTGAAAGAGGTGTGCTTTTACTGTATTAAGTGATCATACTGACTTATTTCCACCTGACAGACTATGAAAAAAACTCAAAATTAAGAGAAAAAAAAATCCTATTATTGCCTTATGTTATGATATATGTAGACCTGAGTATCTAGCAACACCCTAGAAACCACACGGCGACTCAATAAACACAATCAAAACACATTGGCAACTGCATAGACACAGACAAACTACTCAAAACACTCTAGTACCTGCATAGCAAACAGCTTTTTAATAAAGCTCTAATTGGTTTTCTTTTGGAAATATGTTTCAAATTCACACTGAATGCATTAATAACTGTAAAGCATGTCTGTGTGTGTCAAAATTGTGATTAAAATCGAAATGGCAAAATTGATCAAAGAAATCGCGATAGGTTTTTTTTCCATATCGCACAACCCTACTATTTTGACAATGTCTTTCATACTTTTCTGGACCTTAACAGTGTTATTTACTTGGCAGTCAATAGGACAGTCACAAGCCTCCCGGTTTTCATCGGGTTTGGAATGACATGGGGGTAAGTGATTAATGACAAAATTTTTGGGGTGGAGTAACCCTTTAAGTAAATATGAATAGATGATCGATTTATGTGCCCCTTGAACTGAGGCACTACAGTGATCTGTCACTACACATTAAAGAGGCACAAAACAGTATTTATTGTTTGAATTTCTTAAAAAAAAAAAATTGCAATCTGAGACTTTGTTTAATACCAAAAGTAACCTGCTCTGTCTTGTCTGTCGACATGTTATCAGTTTCCTCTTTGCTCCACCATGTATTTTTCACTATGGTGAGTGCACCATGGCTTGTCAGACATAGCAACAGTAACTAAGGAAGGCATGTCTTTGCCAAGGGTCAATTAAGGGGACAATAATAAGTTAAATATGTAACTACCAGAGTAATTTATCACTTTCACTCTAATCCCAACTCATTTAGGGGTTTTAATTGAATCAGTAAATAATTTCTTTTGAACTGATTCATTTGCGTGAAACTGTTGAAACAATCTGAATCATGCAATGAATTAGACTTTACAATGAAAAATCTATTTTAAAGCTGTGTGCATAATACAGTGTGACAAAGTATTTTGTCATAATAAATTACTATTTGTTGGAGATTGTACTACACCCTTGTAAAGCTAGTCATATTAAAATTGTAATAGTTTATTCATATTTTGAATTAGTTTTTATTTTAACGTAAGTTTTAGTTTGCAGTTCGTAATACTTTTTTAATGTCTATTTTGTTTTCATTCATTTTTATTTCAGTTTTAGTTTTTGCAATTTTAGTAATTCAACTAAGCGAAAATGAGAAATATTGACTTGGCAACGAACTGAAATAAGTTTGTTTTTATACAGTATTTCATTTAATTTCAGTTCATGTTTATTTCAGTTAACATGTTTTTTAATAGTTTTAGTTAGTTTTAGATAACACTACTGGTAGATTCACGTGAGAAGTTTTGATGCTGTTGTTACCTTAACGCTAAATGTGATGGGCTCCATGACGAACACGCGATCAGGAAAGTTTCCTGCGATTTCCTCCACGCTTCCAAAGTACTGAACCGGCTCACGAACATCCCGATCCTGATCCAATAACTTAAACTTCCCTGAGGACAGAGGAAAACAGAGTGAAAGAAAGAAACAAAGAAAGTGAAATTTCCCCAGAAATGAGATAAAAGTCCCATTAGTGACACCCTGAAAGGTATTTAAAAATGCAAAATGTTTTTTTTTAGGGTTTAAAGTTTAGTCTGTAGAGATTATAATTAGCCTTGTATAAAAACCAGCAGAACTCTATGGTATGTCCTCATTTAAGCGTAAGTGTGTGATCTTACAGGTCATTTTCACACACAGATAAAGCGTGAGAGAAGTATCTCTCTTTGTCTTTCTGTCTCCTGGCAACAGCTTTTCTTTTTTCTTTCTGCAGTTCTATACGACCCTCAGAGCTGAACGGGTTTCTTTCTCTTCTGGAGTTTCATTTTTGTTGGTGTAATCGTACAAATTAATTGTAAATATCAGTTGAATTATCTTCAATCACATTTCATTGGCACACATGACACACATTTACCAAACAATCTAAACAGAGACTTTCCATTGACTTCCTGTGTATTAAACTACAGCGTTTGTGCTACGAACATGAATGATTCAAAATGTGTGAAAGAGGTGTGCTTTTACTGTATTAAGTGATCATACTGACTTATTTCCACCTGACAGACTATGAAAAAAACTCAAAATTAAGAGAAAAAAAAATCCTATTATTGCCTTATGTTATGATATATGTAGACCTGAGTATCTAGCAACACCCTAGAAACCACACGGCGACTCAATAAACACAATCAAAACACATTGGCAACTGCATAGACACAGACAAACTACTCAAAACACTCTAGTACCTGCATAGCAACACCATAGCAAGCTCTGCACAGTTTAGCTCCAACCCTAATCAAACACACCTGATCAAGCTAATCTAGGTCTTCAGAATTACTAGAAACTTCCAAGCAGGGGTATTTGGAGCTGATTGGAGCTAAACTCTGCAGAGCTGTGGCCCTCCTGGAACCACACTTTTTCCTTCCACTCAACTTTCTGTTAACATGCTTGGATACAGCACTCTGTGAACAGCCAGCTTCTTTGGCAATGAATGTTTGTGGCTCCTTGTGAAGGGTGTCAATGATTGTCTTGTGGACAACTGTCAGATCAGCAGTCTTCCCCATTATTGTGTAGCCTAGTGAACCAAACTGAGAGGCCATTTTGAAGGCTCAGGAAACCTTTGCAGGTGTTTTGAGTTGATTAGCTGATTGGCATGTCACCATATTCTCATTTGTTGAGATAGTGAATTGGTGGGTTTTTGTTAAATGTGAGCCAAAATCATCACAATTAAAAGAACCAAAGACTTAAACTACTTCAGTCTGTGTGCATTGAATTTATTTAATACACGAGTTTCACAATTTGAGTTGAATTACTGAAATAAATGAACTTTTCCACGACATTCTAATTTATTGAGATGCACCTGTATATATTATAAATACCCACCCCCGCTCTGCATATTTTGCATGTTTCGCTTAGTTAACACACCCGATTCAGATAACCAGCTCGTTAGAAGAGAGCTACGTGCATGAACGGTGTTCCTATCGATATGATCCCTACACAGTGTTCAATGCTCCCTACTCCCTGAGCCGTGTAAGTTTACTTCACTTCGGAACATGGGCTGGAATTGGGAACCGCTGATGTAGCCTATTGTAGTATTGTTATCTCTGATATTCTGGTCTGTGAGCGTATATGCGTACAGGGGGCGTGGCTTTGGACGCCGATTGCAGGGAGGGTGGGACGTTGCTTTCGGTGCTATCAGGCTAAAGTTCGCATTTTCTAAGATCTCCTACTACACCTTTAATGCGACTCAGTACTTAAATCATTGGTCTAAAACTCAATTCCTGGAGGGCCACAGCTCTGCACAGTTTAGCTCCAACCCTAATCAAACACACCTGATCAAGCTAATCTAGGTCTTCAGAATTACTAGAAACTTCCAAGCAGGGGTATTTGGAGCTGATTGGAGCTAAACTCTGCAGAGCTGTGGCCCTCCTGGAATTGAGTTTGAGACCACTGACTTTAATAATGTATAATTACACTGTAACAAGAAGAACACCTTAAAATAAAGTGTATTAAATAATCTGATATATATATATTAGATTTTTCACATTAATATATATATATATATATATATAATACACATTAGGCCTATATGAAAAACCTTTTGTATAAACATAGTAATTTGTGTTGTAAATCGGTTAATAAAATATTAACTAACTGCATATTTTTTCTAAAATTAATCGTGATTAATCCCACCTAACATTAAAGTTTTTAAATATACTTTTGCATTGCAATAATTTCACATTCAATCGTCAAATTAATGTAGAAACAACATAAAGACAAAAAGTTTAATGGCATCTTTTTTATGACTGAAGGCAAGTATCACTGATACCAATTCTACTGATGTCTCTATGATTTTTCCCCTAATATTTAACCATTTACTATAGCCATTCAACATTACAGTATAATTGAGAGCTATACATTTTAACATTCTTTTTTTTTTTTTTTTTTAGAAAAAAAAAAAAAATTTTAATTTAAAAAATTCTTTTTTTTTTTTTTTTTTTTTTTTTTTTTTTTTTTTTTTTTTAAATTCTATGCCTAA